GCCAGGATTGGGCTTCTCCTGCCTCCACATCAAGTGGCCGAGGAGCCCAGAGCCTCCCAGTGCCCCCTCAGCGCAACCCAGGGCCCCACAAACCACCCCAAAGCAAGGCCTCAGCACAAGGCTGAGGACTCCAGCAATCCTCCCTCCTTCCCTGGGGGAAGCGTGAGGCAACCAAAACCACAGCAATAACCTCAGCTCAGCAGCCCTCAGGACAGGCTCCCAGCACCCAGATTGTTCCAGAAAACCTCCTTCCACCCTTAGCAATCAACTAATGCACCAACCTCAGATTTTAACACACACAGTGCTGCATGTGGCTGCACTTTGACATTAGTAGTATTTCTAGGTCACACCAACCCTCCTTCTGTTGTGGCCCGAACAAGCTGTTGCTTCATAACAAGCATGAACATCAGTGGTCTGGTTTGTCATCCATGCCAGACTGGGGCAGAGGGACACAGAAGGTAGATGCCCCTGGCCTTCCTCATATACCTTAGACTTTGTTATGATGTCCATATACCATCCTTTCTGGAAATATCCATCACCCAGATCGGACTTATGAGCTGGTTGCTTAATAGACAACTGCAGAAAAGTTGCGCAGCAGCAGGATAAAGGATACTGCTCTGGTCTTTGGAGCCACAGGTGTCTGCTGGTATCCGCTAGTTATGCCCCAGCAGAAAATAAAGAATTGGACCCAGCGATGGGTCAGGTGTCAGATGTTTAAGACATCCTTTGTTTGTTGGTGACCTGCACCAGGCTATTGCTCGGGGCCAGGGTTGGCTAGAGGCTCACCGCAACACTGCTGGTGCAGCTTCTCATCCTTTTGCACAATATGACCTTGTCTGGGTTGAATTGAAGCTCTTTGTGCTCTTCTTCAGGCCAGCCAGCAGTCCATATATAGCATTTTTGCAATAGCTGATTTGAGACTGACTTTTTACCACAAAAGAAGGGAGGGAGGGGAGCACACAGCAGCCATTTTACCCCTGCATACAAACACCACTGCAAAACAGCAACAGTTCTGATAACATGTCTTCACTGCACATTCTCCACTCAAAGGCAAGCGGCGGGGAAGCCAGTTTTTAAAAACTAGGGCAAAGGCCAGTAAACTACCATCAAGTTATTTACACAAGGGATATCAGAGGGCCAGCTTTGTGAATGGAGAGCTTCTATGAGCTTCTGTAAGCTGAAAGAAAACACGTTCAGCCCTGAAATTTGATTATCAGCTGGAGGCAGCACCACTTCATTGATGGGATATTTCCAAGGAGAACTTTGCAGAACTAGGAAGGAAAAAGTGAGGATTAACATGCCTTTCCGCTCTACTTTCAGTCTGGCACCAAAAGAAACACATTTGTCTGACCCATAGTATATTTATACACCCACATCTTATGGCTTATTCCATCTGTCCATGACTTCATCGGCAAACAGTATTTAGGGTTTTCCTGATATTAAGCGGCCAGACAGAATGCATTAGTCTAGAAATGGATTATTAAATTCCACTGTCAAACTAAAGTAGTCAATAAATACAGTGGAATGCAAGTGCTTCAATCATACAATGCTTCATGTGTACTTTACTGTTAAAAAGTTCCCAAACAGTGGGGTTTCATACCTATTTTGACTTCTTCCTTGCCTAACTCTTTCTCTGCCACTCTCTCAGTGTGTAGTACGGCCAGCTACTCAGCTGCTACATCTTTTTTGGAAACTGCCCCTGCTCAGCAAAGTAGGCCAAGTCACCACACAGGGAACCCTAAACCCAGGGAATTCAAACCACTCACACAGTCAAAGGAACACCAATCAACTCCATTTCTTCTCAGCAGAAAAGGACATGCTTCCAAGCTGATGGGAATACTCTCTCTCCCCTTTTAAAATGCAAAGAAAGATTCAGTAGAATGCAGAAAACTGCTGCCATTAAAGTTACAGGATGCAAAACTACGACAGCCCCACCATCTCACCTTCCAACTCAACAGCAATACTAGAAGAATTGTCCTCAACTCATGTCCAGTCCAATCAACCACTTGTTTTTAAAACCACATTGTTACTGCCTTCCAGCACAGCCCCTGCAGAATTTGTCCCAGTACAGATTCCCACCATTCCTACATGGGATAACCTGGATGAAACCAAGCATTTCCTAGCCACAAACGACAAGATGGATTTTTTTTTTTTTTTCATTCTAAGAATTAAAAGACAGCATCTGTGGGGATTTTTTTTTATTTGGTTGTTGTTGGTATTTTGTCTTCTGACCAGTTATCAGACACCATACACTGTTCTGAGTTAGGACCACTTCAACCCCAGAAACCTATTTGAGGGTCTTATTTCAGCAGAATTATTTTCTTCTCAAAGAAATTTTAAGCTTTTGAGAAGGAGTGAAGAAGTCACATCAATTTTGGGGATAATTTTACTTTTCTTCATCTCCTCACTTACTCTGATCAGGATTAAACTGGATTAACAGAACTGGCACACTTCAGTCCTGCTTCAGACTGCATTCAGTTTAAGTTTTAACCTTCCATTCACTCTACCAGGATTTTTCCAAAATGCTCCTGCTGGCAAAGCACTGAATGATTCCTAGCAACCAATCACATCAAAAAGCCGTTAATTCTCCACACTTTCTCCAAAAGTATACACAAAAATAAGAAAAAATAATGCAGAAAATTCAAACCAGGTTTAAGGCTTGGTTGTTTGGTTTGGTTTTGTTTGAAGTCCCAATTGCACTGAAGCAGAGACAGTTTGCATTTAAACTAGATACAGCAACGCCCTCTAGCGTTCTGCAGAGAAATCTGGTACAAGGCTGCCTAAAGCCTTACAAAATTCAAGTTTAGGATTGCTGTACCGTCTCAAGTGACAGCCAAAGTTTTGAAAGGTTACAGCTCACGTGCAGCAGGATGTTCTGCACCCAATTGTGGCCTGCAGAATGATCTGGGATCCTTTCCTTCCCTCCACTGCTGATGCTTGCATCAGAATTTCATGTCCAAAGATGTAGGTATTTTCTGGGCATACACCGATGGCTTGAGAAACACCTGGGAACAAGAGGGGCTTTTGAGAATCAGCTAAAAGCCTGATCCTTTCCTTTGCAGAGTTCTCAAAATAAATGAAATGCACCTCCTCTCTCATCACCTACAAATACCATCCATGGACAGTTCTTTTACTGTCTTCCCACCTGTGGCACGTGACAAATCACATAATACCCATCCTGCGCCTTCCCCAAGCATTTGGTGCCTGTGTTACTCATCACTACGCAAGCAGGATGATGCCTTTGGCTTGCAGAGCTCTCTTACAGAGCTCCAAAGCTTAGTAATTTCCCCACAGCAGTAGCATTTCCAAGATATTAATAAATTGCAAACAGAACTATCCAGATTCAAGAAAGACTTAAATAAAGGAGAGCACTCATAGTTCCAAAAAAAAAAAACACCCCCAAACCCCTGCAGAGCTATCAAAATATTTATTTACATCTTGTACACATTACAAAACTCAACCTTGTATCGCATAAAGGACTAGAAGAGTTTTTATAACTGGAGGTCTGAAAAGCAAAAGGCAAAGTCCTTGATGAAGGCTGCTCTTAAACAGGCAGCTGGGAGTCCTTAAATTTTACTGTCCATTGCTCTTGAAAGACAACTGCTGGGCTCTCACCGTCTGGACAGAATAGAAACTTGAATGCCTTTGATTAAACTTTTAATCACATCAAGTACTTTTAAAATAATTAACAACAGCAGAAAAAAAACCACAAAACATCTGCAGCAGAGAGAAACCACAGATCAAAACTGCAATAGAAAAAAAAAAAAGATTAAAATGAAACATCAGTTCCACTCATGATCCTATCTGAAATAAGGGCGAAAAAGATGAAACAGTGTATTTTCTGGCAACCTAAGGGGGACTGGTACACTTACAAAACTGCCAATGCAAAGCTAGTACCACAGCCATAAAGCTGCTAGCTGGAGTCTGTTTCTTGCCTGGAACAATGTCAACAGTTACAAGGTGGCCTATTAACAGTGTTTCACACTCCCACTAGGGCATTCACTGGAGCAAGGTTAGTCCAGGCATGGTTTCTATGGAAGGAAGCTAGCTTGGCCTGTTTGATAGGTAAAGAAAGAAGCTCAGGTCTTCAGGCTGGGCATCACCCCACACCTTCCAGGGGAATTGATTCATAAGAACAAAACAAGAGACATAATTTCAACAAATTTTGTTCATAAAAGTTCTCCAAAAACAAACAAAAAAAAAAGCCTACCAGAGTGACCGTAGCTCTGCAAAAATTACTGGATATAAACGAAAGATCCAGTGAGATCACACCTAGGGTAAATTCTGGACTTGACTTGGCACTTGCGATAAGCCTTTTAGGGCACTATATTTGTAGCCCTCATGTCTCAGGCTGCAATCAGAATTTGGATGTAGAAGTGGGATCAAATTAGGAATTTAAGCTTAGGAACTCCACTATAAGATTTGAAATAGGTTCATCTCTTCTCAGAGGGCAACCAATACATAACCTACTTAAACTAGCAGATACTATTTTTTTCCTCTAATGGGGAATGGTTACAGGCAAGCATCCTGACCTGCAAAGAAATAATTTTTGATCTTGTTATACATGTAACCAAATTAATGGAGAAAAGAAAGCAGTTTAGAGACTATCCAAAAGACAGTCAAGGCAGGATATCCAGTGTTCATACCACTGCACTAGAAACTATTCTTTCTTAGAGGTCTGACACAGCACGTCTGTGTGACCGATTGTCTGCACAGAACACTGTCCTGGAGAAATGGCTTGTATATGTATTTTTTAAAAAAAGCTCTCAGGATCAGCTTCTTCCCTGTTGTATTGTCATTTTATTTGCAAGGGATAGTGTGGGGAAAGGACTATTAAAAATTCAGGGTACAAAAAAAAGCAAGAGAAAGATCTGAGGAAGACAGACATCATCTTGAGAACCCACAGTCTCCAGGCCTTACTGAACAAAACAGCTTTTCCACTTCCTTCAGTTTATATAACAGTCCAGTGTGTTTCAGACACATTCCCACCTTCTCCAGGGAGCAGAACAACCTGAAAGACAATCCAAGAAAACGCTCCAGCATTCGTCATGGATAGGCCACGCACACATATTGTTGTATCTTGAGAAGACGTGTATTGTTCTGCAGGGCTGGCAGCATTGTACTAGTGCTTCACTTTGTGAAGAAGCCAAGAGTGTCCAGGCAGGACACTGAAACTGTTTGACGTGCACGTAGTTTCATCACTGAAGCATAAACTGAGCTCCTCCATTCTTCATCTTGGCCCTCTTCTTGCACAAGTGTTTTGCTATGAGACTAGCACTGGTGCATTCTCCTTTTCTTTCTGTGTCACCATCTGCAGGTACTTCAGTCGCATGGGAGGGAGCTGCTCATAAAGGTCAAATCCCAAAGGGCTCTCTGCATTCAGTAGTCTGTAGTACAGTAGGTGCTTTTTCAAGGTCTGAAGAAAGAAACAGCAGCCATTAAGCATGTCTGAAGAGAATCTCATCTTTTCCACCCAGTCTCCAACACAACATAGCAACCTGACAGACAGTACAATCCCATTGTGCCCAACACATTTAATTGCATTATCTTCAACAGAAGAGCTATAAAAGGTGAGTCTCTTGCAAGAAAATTCACTTTTGGTTTGCAGGAGATTTCCTCTTCTGAACACAACTCCATTGTCTCCTCAACAACCCCTCAGAACGACTTCTTGCCAGCAGCCCAAATGGGTTTCGAGTGGAATCTAACCATTTACCCTGGATGCTAAACATAAAGGGCCAAATGACCCAGCTCTGTCACACAAGGGATAGACTTTGGCAATCTCCCTGAGAAAAACAGAAACCTTATACTTGTTTTGTTCCTTCCAGGGGAAGCATCCAACTAAGAGTTAAGGGAAATCACTGCTGGCCACCTATTCATAGCCAGGCTAGGATCATCCCTCTAGGGCCTCTCACTATCCAAGTGTAATGCTGCTTGGGCAAGAGGCATGGAAATACAGTACAGGAGATTCAACTACGTTCCAATGGGCTCAGTGTTCCAAGTTTAATTACAAGAACTGGATAACAGTATTTATAGCCATCACAGGTCAAAATCCTGCTGCTAGTCTCCTCTCATTCTCAAATTAGCAAGGTAGTTAAACACAAATTTCAAAAGCCAAAGGTAAATCTGTAAGAGCACAGTGTCTGAAAAATTTAAGTCCCAGTGACACAAACTGAACCTTACAGATCCTACCTCATCCACCAACAGCCATGTCTTCCGCAGCATGCTTTTCCGAGCAGCATCAGTCTCCTGGGAACAAAGCACATACTTCGCTTACTATGGTGCAATGCTACCTTTGCCCACGGGCATACAGCACTCCAGGAGGCTGCCGCTTTGCTCATTATGATGATGCTCCAAACAGCAGCTTGTTCCAGTAGAAAGGGCTTGAGATGGCTATCGTTCAGATCCTCCCTCTCTCCTCCTTCCCTTACCTCAAACTCAGCTGAGTTCTCAACTTTCAGGTAGAACTGTAGATCAGAGGTGAAGTGTTAGCACAAGTAACCATTGCTAAAAGCCCCAAGGCCATGGGAAGGCTTCTGCTTGGTTATTCCAGCAAAGTGAAAGGAAAGAGTACTCTGCACCTTAAGATTGCCCCAGGCAGAGGCTAAATCTATTAAAAGCTCACTCCGCCTGATCAGCTCCCTCTTCCTCTCTGCTTCATTCCTCCCCCCTGCTCCATAGCCCACATAGGTGCTGACTTCAAAGGTTTATGTAGGATTGGCTACCATTAATGTAAGTGCTTTAGGGTATAATGAACAAGAGCTGCTGTCCCGGTGCATTCTCAAAAAGCTGACCAGTCCTCAAAACACTTGCTTACAATTTTCTTTTTCAAGCCCAGGGTCAGTGATTCACCCCAAGCCACAATGGATGCTCAGGAATAGCAGATGCAAAACCCAAAGCTTCCAGCCCTGAGGCTCTGCTATCCATTACCTACCTGCGTGGTGCTGTCTTGGGAGAAAATAAAGCTGTTCACATGAGCCACAGCCACCGCATAAAGAACAGGGCACCAGGTGTGGCGCAGTGCACCAGTGACCAGTGTTCGGAAGTAGAGTCGCAGGAGGTTCAGGTTACCCTCAGGAGGGGAAGTGTATCGCTCCAGAGGCACAGGAAACTGCAACAAATCCACCCAGAGGCAACATTACAATTTTTGTCAGGGTCTAGGCAGTGAGGGGAAGTTCATGACTTTAGGGTGCCCTTCCCCAGATGTTTGCGCATGCACTCCTATATAACACGATGTACCTCGGTGGCAGGACCCCCATTTGGAGCACAGCTGTTACTGCCCACACTGACTAATGTGAAATGCCTTTGACAAAACACCCTCAAGACCTCTTCAGCTTTATGGAGAGATGTTTTACTGGTTAAATCACTGCAGTTGCTTTTTGGCACAGGTAAGAAGAGGAGTTTCAAAGTGAGAAGACAGAGTGCTTCCAACAGTACCACATTCTGCAAAGGTACCAGAGGGGTTTACACTGACCTATGCATTTAGCCAGAAACATGTGCCAGAGTTAATGTTGTTAAGTGAAGTTTACAACATTTTCTGACTTCAGTGTCTAGCTTTAAAAAAATAGGTTAGGAAAGCTTTTAGTAACAATTAGGTTTTGTTTGCTTTTCCCTCTTTCCAGAAGTCCAATTTTTATTATTCTCTATTTTGAGAGATAAGTTCTCTAGAGCTAAAATTATGCATTTTCACTTTGGAGCATCTTCTTTGCACCATTAAAGACAATAATTGATTTTACTCAATTCAAAAAGCAGTCTTCCCACTAGGGTACTCCTACTGCCCACTAGGGTATTTTTAATTTGAGACAAAAAGGGAAAAAACCCAAACAAACACCACCTCCTCAAGTGGTCTTGCTCAAATTTTCCAACACATAGTTTGTTTTCAAGCAACATGGCAATGAAAACATTGTGCAAAACTATCTGGCATTTAAAAAATTTCTAAGCACATGAAAACAATCTGCTTTAAAATGTTCTCCATTGTAACATATGCCACAATCTGACAATACTGAGGGACCAAGACAAGATAAAGCACAAGATGTAGAATCAAGGCTTTCATCTCGAATACAGTGTTCAGCTCTGTTCCTACGTGTATTTGTGGAACTGGAGTAGAGATAGGGAAGGGCTACTGGGAACATCAAGAGAACAGAGAGCTCACCATATGAAGCGGCTCAGAATATCTTGGCTTACCTGGCTTAAGAAACAAAGGCTCATCTGGCCATAACGATACAGAAAAATGGCTGCAGGGCTACTACAACCAGAGCAAAAGCACTGCAACCACACAACAGAAAGCACTGATCTCACATAAACTGATGGTTCACAGTTGTTCCGAAAAAAAATTCTGAAATGTTATCTTTATATTAGCAAACTTAGGCTAGATCGGGTATTGTCTGTCAACTGACATAGAACTTAAAGCCAGCTAAATTCCATCTCTTGTGCTCTGCTCATTCAAAAGAAATACAGTCTTGCACTTGACAGATCAAGTTTTCTTGCCAAGCTACCCTGCTAAGCACAACTCCAGTATAACTAAATGTGGAAACTCAGTTGAGAGGGAAAGTGACTGTTTGCCCACGCATTGGGCAATGAAAAGATTCTCACCAAGATGAGAAAAGACTTATTTAAAGGAAATGTAATTGCTGGCAGAAGAACATGGGGTGCAGACTAGCCCTTCACACATACAGGCTATAAATTAGAAGGAGGTTCTCAACCATTAGACCAAGCAGGGTGTGGGACAGTTTCCACTGAAGACCAAACAATTTCACAGCTGCTGCTCTCCACATTTACACACCATCTGCTCTCAAAACAAAGTTCAACAGGTTTCTGAAAATGATTATGTGTCAAGGGCCTGCACCTACAAGGGCTGGACTCTGTTATTCAGACCTACAATCAATCAAACTGTTTTAAAAAAAAAAAAAGAGAAATAACAACTACCAAAAAACCCCAAAAAAGTATACACTGCAGTCACCTGCAATCAAAAGAACACTGCTCTCCATTCCTATTCTATTTTACATTCCATGCATTGGACTTTCTTCAGAGAGAATGAAAAGCTTCTAAGCAAAGAAAGCATGATTATTCTACTGGACAAGGAGGGATGAAGAAGAAGGGGAGGCACTGGGAGGATGCTCCAATCAAGGTTGGAGAAACACAGGCAAGAACCCAGTAACCCAGAAATACGCAGTGACAGTCAACTACCATAAGCCAGGATTACCTGCTGCAGTGGCACTCCCAGTGCCTTCAGGATACTTGTGTGCTCCCCAAAAACAGAGAGACGCAGATGAACACTGAAACGCTTCTGCAGAGGTAGAAGAACAAAGACTCCAAAGAGTGGATCTCCAAAGGAGACACCTTCAAACTGCTCCAGGAGACTTATATAGAGATCGTGGAAGGATGCCAAACCAGGGAGAGGAGCATCCAAGTTCAGGGAGTCCAATGCCTTGGGTTGGCAATACACAGAGAGAAGGGCAGCTGTGTAGTGGTGGACCTGTGCTTCTAGAAAGAGGTCACTGCCTGTGAGGAAGACACACATAAGCCGTGCAAGTTTGGCAGCAGTAGGGATGCTCTGAAGGGTTTTAGCACGCCAGGTTTCTAGCAACAAGACCCACTGCAGGTTCCAGGTCACAGTGTTGACGAGATCAAGTGGGAGAGAGTTCAGCACAGCCCCACGTGTCTCTGCATTAGTCACTTTGTTGTAGAGGTTGATAAGCGGAAAGAACGGCCAGTCTGAAGGCAGGATGGGCCCTTTGACCTCAGGAAGCAGCATTGATTGGATGAGGTAATTCTGTCCTTGGTAGGATGCCTTGGAACGTCTAAGGGTAGGCTGCAAGTGGACAAAGTGAGAAAGGTAGCAGGAGCGGATGAAAGGCAGATTTTGGTACGATTCTCTCAGCAGGGCACCACGAGTAGCCTTTGAAGAAAATGCTGCTGCAGAGCCAGGCTGTGCCAGTTTGGCACTGGTACCCAGATGCAGGATATCAGAGAAGTCAGCTGCTTCTGGCCCTCCAGCTTTCCCTTCACTGCAAGGTAAAGACAAACATCAGTTTAAGAAACAAAAAAACCAACACACCAAACGAACAAAACACCACAGAAATTTGTCTCTACAATCTTCCTGGATGAGGGAGAGTAGTATATGCACAGCATCTGCAACACTTTCTACAGCATTCAGCTATGACAGTACTGAGTGCCTGTAAAGCATCAGCTATCTTGGTATTTACAGGGAGTTCAGAGAACCACATTTGGAGTTAGTAACACTAAAGCCTTGCCATGAAAAACCTCCACACAATGCCAGCAGTCTGGTATGGAAGCTGCAAGCCCTTATCCAGCTAGGCAGTCTACTTACCAACACAGCTGTCAGGGTGCTGAGATGAAATACCGCATATCACATAAGGCCTACATGAATCAGTAAGAAAATTCTTGAAATAGTAGCTTTGCAGCTGGCAGTGGCAAGGTCAGGGGAACCATACAGACCAGTAGTTAGAAGTTCAGGATGGGGGGGATGTTTGTCAAATCCACATGCCATGATCTCAGAAGAGAGACTGACCATGGTCTCAGATGACTTGCCAAATTCTCACAAAACGTGAGAACTAGCATTACCTCTATAGCACGTATTTGTGAAAAAACAAACAAACATCCCAAACATCCCAAAAACCAACAAACCACTCACCCACCCATGCATAAACTTTACTTCTTTCTGGTCCAGCCTCCTACAGGGATGCACCATGGCAAATTTCAAAGAGATTGTGATGAACAAGATGAACTGCTACTATTTTCTTAGCCAGACATGGAAGGCTTCACATTTGAGATACTCATGATTTCTTCCAGTGCAAGGTAGAAGACATCACAGTTGTCAAATCAGCAAAAATTTGTGTAATAACTTGTATAATAAGGGTTGGAGGAAGATTTAATAAGCTTTTCAGGCTATGTCAAATTCCCATGTATTTTCTAGACTCACTGCTTTCAGGAGATGCGGGGCCTTAGTGGGAATCAGTTGTATCAGAAATCACAGGACTCTTGCACAGAGGAGATCAAAAGAAACTAGTCACACCTCTCAACAATGGTACATGGGAGAGAAATCTGCAACCACACTGCTGGTCTGATTAGAAGGCTCCATGACTGGAGAACACACCATTGAGCAACTCAAATTTGAATACAGGACCTATTAAAGGCCAAACACTATGACAAAATTGGAATACCAACATGTGCTTTTTCAATTTTTCCAAGTTTTCCCATGTACTAAATTACAGAAAGGAAAAAGTGCAAAGCTTACGGAAGAAACTCTGGATTAAAGGCAAGATCCAGTAGGACCTCATAAGCCAGATGCTCACTCCCTGGCAACAGACGGCTTAGCAATGCCAGGGCAACAGAGTGATGGAGTGAGGCATGCTGGGCATAATCCGGACAAGTGCCTGCCTGTACAGGAAACAAAACAACAGACAAAAACACTACATCATTTGTGGACAAGGCAATCAACAAGAACAGGAGGGTCAACAGAGACATAGCTCTTGCTGTAAAGTGAGAGATTGAGGCAGACTGCAAGAACTGTGAGCATTCATGCTGAAATCTTTCTGCTTCCCCTGATTGTCTTAGTCAGATATCTTTCTTATCAGCACACTTGAAAACTTTGTTCTCACTCTAGTCCAAAGACAAGAAAAACACCATTTTGCTATCCAAAGTACTTTGGATCTAAATCCCCACATCAGTAACTGTAAAGATATCATTTGCTAATGGAGCACAAAGGACAGCTGAAAAGTCACCAGACCTAAGTCAGATATGATCTTTGAAGTCCCTTCCAACCCAAACCATTCTATTATATGATATGATCTTATAGGAGAAAGAACATAGATGCAAAGACCAGTTGCCAGTCTGACACACTGAGTTGGAGAGGCTAGGGTGAAGTCAATTCCTCAGGTGAAAGAAATGACAGGATTAATAACGATACCATTCTCCGAGCCAACGCTAACACAAAGTACTGCAGATGATATTCATGGCGCAGGATCCACACAGACGAGGGAGTTACAGAGGGAGGTCCAGCCTGCCAGCTTTGCTGCAGATAATCCTTCAAGCCTCTGAAGTCCAGCACAGAGCTGTACTATAAAGGAATCAGAATTGGATACAAACACTACTAAGACAGTTCGTGCTTGGAGGAAAGGAAAACATAGGCCTCTCCAAGGCCTACCCCCTACCTTCTCACATAAGAATTGCTGTTGGTTATTCCAAGAGGGATATTTTAAAACAGCCTGATAAGTATCTGCTTTTCTGCCTCAGGGCTCACCTGCCTCTATCGTGACCATTCCCACTGCAGGTAACCAACAGTCACTGCCTACATTTTCCATGGTGCTTTGTAAGGCAGAAGTCTGGCCAGTGGCTTAAGATGTTTTTTTCTCCTCTGGCCATATATTCCTATTAGTATCGGTCAGCTAATTCAACACAAGGTGACAGAGGAAGGCTTTAAGAAGGCTCATGCTATATACTCCATCTCTCTAGGGCTCTGCCATTTCCTCTTCAGAGACTGCAATCTTCCATGACTCCCTCATTCTAAAAATTCCAGACAACCAAAAGTGGGAGGAAATCTCTTCAGTCACAGTAGCACTCATTCTCTTGTTTAATTTTACCCTGTTTTTCTTTTGTTATATACGCTTCAACCATCCCTTTCCTCTTCTGACACTCTGCTATTTATTTTGCTTAGCCAAACTACAGTTATTTAACCCTTCTCAATGTTCTTAAATCCATCCTTTAAGCAGCATCATCATTTATCACTTGCTCTATAATTCAGCTTCCCAGTGTCAACTGGATACTGGAATTCACAGACAGAAGATATTTTTCAGATACTCGTCCCACCTGTTCTGAAAATGGGGGTATTTGTACTCTATAGTACTTTGGTATTTTTAAAATATAAATACATAACAATTCTTCCTTAATAGTCCTATTAACATCACTCTTAAGCCTGGGAAGGTAGAAATACTAACCTCCCCCATAAGTGTATCATTATTCACCTAGAACTTACAGTGAAAAAGTCTATTCTCACCTTGCTGGTCAGGCCCTTGTGAACGTGAGTGATGCTATTGATGAGAAACAGGAGGGCAGTAAGGAAGGGGAAAGGTGACTTGGAGCCAACCAGGCTCAAAGGAAGTTTGCCTCCAGTACAGCTCAGAGATGCAATGCTGAAGACAGATTCTGGTGCTGGGGAACAGGAGAGAGGGTTGCACAAAGCAGAACATGGCCTGTGTGAACAGATAAAGAGAGAGGGGTCAGGTCAAAAGCACTCATATTGCTGAAGAATTATCTTACAGGAATGTTACTATTTGAATTGTGCCACATATCATAGTAAAGATCGTGCAAGAAAAAAAAAATCTAGTATCACGGTTGGTCAAGTAAGCACTATCACTATACAAACTCATGCCAGTGAGCCATCACAAATTCTAATCTTCAGCTAAATTGTTCATGATATGCAGAAATACTGATGCAGTGATGCATCTCTGATGTCAAACATTTGAAAACATCGAGCCTTTGATTAAAAGAAAATACACATTTCCCCACATGTACACACGTAAACCAGGCTAATAAAGCTGCCCGCCCACTCAAGACGTTTCAATAATAAACTGGCCGGCAAAGCCAAAAACCCAGCTTATATCTAAAACTGACATGGCAAAAATGCTGCCCTTTATGTACTCATGAAATGCATATTTTTAAAGTCTGTTCAGAAAGAATCTAGCTTTAATGTACGTGAACATGACCATGCATACTGTTCTTGGTGTGAGAGCTCACTCTCCGTGGGTGAAACTAGAGCTTTTTGTACCAGCAGTGCTTGTGGGCCCCACACTAGACATACCGTGTCTGTACAAGCAAGACCTCCACAAGGAAGAGTGACCACAAGCATGCTGCTCAACAGAAATGGGGCAATAGGGCAAATCCTGTCAAAGATCCATATCATTACTCTCTGACAGACAACAATTCTTCAAATGCATTGCTCTTCCTTCCACTGGCATTACCATGCAGGAGATGTGTGAACACATCTGGGGCTCACAGAGTACCCTGAACTCCTGCCCCTAATCTGCCCAGAACATTTAGACATTATTCTCAATGTTATGGCAGAGATTAGCTGACCGTTCATTTTTACCAGCCAGCATTAAGAAGAGCCTAGAAGAATTCTTGCTGACAGGCTTTTACGGCCTGACCAAACCCATTGTTTTCAGATGTCAAGGACAGGCAGGAAAGGGTCTAATGAATGCCCTTGTGTGGGAAGCTTTGGTGCTAAAAGCCTCAGACCTCACTTCTCAGTCATGAAAGAACATGGGCCAAACTGTTTGGCAACCATTTAAATACCACTTAAAACCAAAGATTTCAAGTGCCCCTTATATCAAACATTCCCAGAAGCAGCCGGATGTCTCCTTGACTACAAGTTAGGCCTTTTAGGTTCCCTGACTCCAGAGGACTGATCACAGGCTAGTAGAGAGGCTCCCTCTACAGCAGAAAGACAGAATATCTGCAGTGCTTAACAGTTCCCAGAGACAGAGACAAAGCTTACATTATCCAAATGTCTGAAAGTACAGTTTGGTATCTGGCCTTTCACTTTCCTGCAGGGGCTTTCAAAGCCTTAGTGAAGCTCAGCAAGAGCTTAAAGACAACAGTCTAGTTTAAATTATTTTATATAAGCAGCATCACACAGAACAAGTGAATGGTACATGCACACACACACTGACATCCCTGGTATAAGAGGGACTCAAACTGATGTTACTTTCTTTGTTTCTTAAAGCAGTGAAACCAAAGAATCAAAGCCAAGAGTGACTAAAATCAATCTGAAATTGATATAAAAAGCACAGCTACATGGAAGGGAGAGATGCAGACCTTGCAGCAGCACCAGTGGGAAAGGAGGAACTGGAGAGCCTCTGTGGCCTTCACACTTTTCGCTGTGAGGGGAGACAGGACAAAGCAGGGCATAGACAGAGCCCTACTGCACTCTAATTCACACATAAGGCTTCCTTAGCTTCTGGGAACAGCATCTCAGCAATGACGTGATTTTACCTGAGCAAGTCCCACATGCTGTCTATGGCTGGCTCGCTGAGAAGGGGCTGCAGCACCTCAGACGTCAAACGTTCCAGTTCCTCTAAGCAGTCAATTGGATTGACGGATGGCTGCAGAAGACATGGAAAAAAACAGGAAAAGATGGTGAACGAAGGCATTCTGGTGAGGACAAAGAGACCTACTGATTTAATTGCTTTCTCTGTGTTCGTTATCTTTTTGACAGATCACATCATCTACACAGTGGTATTACTGTAGGTTAAAGCTGGCCTCACAGCTGGTAGTGTGGAAGCTAGGAGCTGGCACCTCAAGGTGCTCTTGCACTCAAGTATTGCATTTTAAGATTTCTTAATTGGCTGGAAGTAAGGTATGGGATCCTTGGGATCAAGATTCCCTAAATGAAAACTTGCCCTAAGTGGCTAACCCCCCCCTCCCTGTACCATCTACATTCTGATCTTTCCATTTAACTTGAAGATGACATAAAAGTCATCAGAACCACCTCGAGAAAGAGCCATGAGGGTCCTAAAAAAAATTATTTTTAAAAAATAATCAACTGTATAAAGTGCAATTGACCTACCCATCAAAGTATGACTGTGGATTAACACTGCACAGAGGATCTGTGGCTTTTATAGAACGATCCAAATTCTTCCGACCCTAGTAAGCAATATTCCAGGTTGGCAGATTTTAGTGTTCTTTCCCTTCATTAGAATGCTGCTTCAGGATACAGAAATACTCATTTCCATAACACAAAATCTAGTTTTTCCCCAGGTGAAATCTCCCTCCAGAAACCAGTAAAATCTACATGAAGATGTTAACCTTAGTTCTTAGTAGTCTAACAAAAATATTCCAAGAAGGTCCCAGTACACACTAACCTAGTCACTACACAAGTCAATTATTTTTCTTTTTGCACTAGTCCATTCAAACACGCTACCTGCAATTTTTTTTTTTTTTTTAAATCAGATTAGCTAACCACAGGTAGTCGATTCAACTCATATTTTTAAGTGGAAATAAAAAAAAAGTCTTATGTCATAGTTCAAGGACTTAAGAAATCATTTAGTCAGCCACTCTTCTGGGATATCTGTAAAGGTTAAAAAGGAATATTAACCTCCTGTTTTATCCTGATTCTCTAATGCTCAGGACCTAATGACAGTATATGAAGGGTACTACCAACCTTTGGGGCACCGAAGACATCTTTGAAAGATACTGGCAGTTTCCACCCCAGACACAACTAATACACTCAGTTGCTTTGGGCAAGTTGCAGAGGAGTTGCAGAAGTGTGAATAACTACAGTCACTAAATTACCCCCACACCGTGAAGACAGCTCTCACAGTCAGAACTGGGGCATGTCAATTGGGCAGTAAAGAGGAAAATTGCTTTTATCTTTAGATAAAATAGGTATCTTTAAAATATGAATCTTCAAGGTAGGTAAAGTACAAAACATTATTCTTCAATAGCACCACACTGATGTGTCACCTTCAGAAAACTCACTTTAAAAGACTGTCACATACTACAACTGTAACTGGGTCACAGAATTTGACCTTGAATGTCAGTGGGGCAGCAAATAAATTTATCTTTATTGTTTCCTATCCAAAGTTCATATGGCATGACCCTCAGCGCTCACTCTTCCAACCACATTATTGCAGTGTACCTGTCCACATGTAAGCTCTCAGGCCACAGCAAATGCAAAACTGTGCAACTCGATTTAGGCCACAGGGAGAAAGGACTGCCAAGCTAAATTAGGTCATATTTGCTTCATGCTTTGGATCTCTGCAGTAAATCAGCACAGTCACAGCACTACCACATACCTCAATTGAGACTCCAAGTCCAATGGAAGGAAGGCAGTGATATTTGGCACTGCTAAGGTGAAGGATCAGCAGACTTATCTGACCCTAAATGCCAGATAGCCTAGATATGAGCTGTGATAAACAAAATCTAGTCCTCAGCTAGATGCCTCAGCATCTGTCTTCTTCAGCATTGCCTGTAAGTTCAGGTTTTCAGAGGTAATACACAAGCTGATGCTGGCGAGATGAAAAGACAACCTGTATTTTCAGGCCTTACCTGTTGGCTACAAGCACTGTAATAAACTCCCAAGTAGATCACATAAGTTGTGGTCAGAGGCTGGAGAGTTTGCCAAGTTTCTGTCTGGGATATCTCCTGGAGGAATTTTTTCAGACTGGTCTCAAGGAAGGGCTGTAAGCCTGACACTTGATTCCATGCTACTGGAGGAGGTGGAATCTGTTCACTATCTTCTGAGCTGTTACTGAAACACAACAGAAGAAGGACACAGATAGCAAACATGTCTCCAAAACAATTGTCTCTCCAAATCACCATTTTTAATAGCAAGATTTCCCATTGCATGTGATCTGGAAGGTGATACCTGACAAGAGCCACAAGGGGAAAAAAGTCTTTGCCATTCCCATGGACCAGATGAAATAAATTTAGGCAGAAAGGACGAATGCAGAATCTACTCATATAAGCTGAAGTTTCTTCACCTGCACTACTCTGTCCTTGAGCTATGCCTTAGTTTTACTAGACACACTACCTCAGTATCCAGGTTTAGTTAAACAGTTTCTTGCTTTTCACCAAAAAAAGTACCTGTGCGTTCAGCAAATCCTACTGCTTTGATGTCTATAAAATCAACAACCTCTTAATCCTGATCCATCTCAGTCTCTGCAGAGGGGTTCTTTCCTCCAAACCTCAGGGAGGTTACTTTATTTTCCCCAAAGGAAGGTCAAAGGAGCTTCCTAGCTCCCTTTCAGCAGGGCATTTGGCTATCACTGCCCTTCTGCCACATAGCTGAATGCAGATTTTTACTCCGACCTCTTACCAGGCTAGCAGACATACACCTGTCAGACGAGCTATCACTTCTGACCTTGTGTCAGAGGGCATACACCCCACCATGCAGGGATTCACATGTGGGACAGTAAATCATCCAAAATGAAGGAAGAAAGGCAATAGCCAGGTCTCTAAACCAAAGAGAGGGAAGGCAGGATGCCAGCTACTCAGATACACCAAACCGGTGACAGAGGGCCCACCTGCTCAGCTTGGCCTGCAGCTCCGCCGCGTAGCCTGCTGTTTGCGTCACACATATCAGCAGAGTAACAACTGCCGTAGCTCGCTGGACATACAACTCAACCATAGGGCTCTTTCCACGGCAAGTGCTGAGCAGCTCAGGCAGGGATTGCAGTATCCTCACCAGCACAGGGTAGAGATCCCTATAGCATGAATCACAGAACAGATGAGGTTGCAAAGGGTCTCTGGAGATCATCTATAGTTCACCTGCCTGCTCAAGCCAGGTCAGCTAGAGCAAGCTTGCCCAGGAACACGTCCAGTCGGACTTTGAGTATCTTCAAGGATGGACAGTCTATAATCTTCCTGTGCAACCTGCTCCAGTGTTTCATCGCCTTCACAGTAAAAAAAAATTCCATACACTTAAATGAAATTTCCTGTTTCCATTTGTGCCCATTGCTTCTTGTACTTCATACCACTGGAAGAACTTGGCTCTATCATCTTTATATCCTCCCATCACATATTTATAAAGATTGATAAAATGAGATTATGAGAACGATTACCACCACCAAAATAAACAGACATGGAAAAAAGATGACAAAGGAAGAATACTGTCATTCCAAATTCATCTGAAGGGGACATACCTAATACTCTGCTTCCAAGCATTCACATAATCTCTTGGAAAAACTACTTCTATTTTATTCTTGTTTCCCTAGTTCTCAAATACTCAGCCAAAGACCCACAGTTATAATCATACAAATTTAAGGAATCTTCTGCTGTTTCTCTTTCCTCAACATTATTTACAGTGCCAAAAAATTGTATATAGTTTTAACTCTTTATTAACCAATACACCTGATGGGGCTGGAGAACACAAAATGCTGTGGCGGAGAGAGAATCTCCCTTCTGAAACTTAATACTGGCCTCCCTTTCACTCCTTTTCAGAGCAACGCCACAGCCATCTCCATGCTTCCAAGTCAGTGCAATTACAGGAAGAAGATTCAACGCTTGAGGCAGCTCAGACTTATCCCAGTGCAGACCTTGACACTCAAGTAGAAGAAGTTGTACTGAACCGAATCAAGACGATGCAGCATGCAGTTTGTCTACATCAGTCTGCTTCACTCATCAGCATACATGCTGGTGACTGCTGCCCACAGACTGCTTTCACATCATCAGATTCTATCCTAGGTGTGCTGCAAACTATGTGTCTTGATGTCACACAAGCACAGATTATTCATGCCTGCAAGGGGAAAAAGATACAGCCCTAAAAAGTTAGGGTGATCTCCCATAGTATAGAGGAGAAACAGGAACATACCAGTGCTGAAACACAGGAGATAACCAGAAAAAGGCATTACTCAACACAAATACCTTTAGAAACTGTGAGTTTTACTGCAGGAGCCCAGAGAAAGGGAGATAAGGCTCCCTAAAGTGAGTAGGGACTGAGCCTGGAGATACCTATATCTGTCCCTCTGGAACAGGATGTCCATTTTCTCTGTTGTGCCCTCCACCCCCTCTTCTCGAGTTTTGGATTGTACCTGTAGAGATCACAGGCCTGACCATAGCCAGCAGCCACAGCCCACAGCCGGAAGGCTTCAGTGCTTAGCCTGATGGCTTCTTCCCTTGGCAGGAGCAGATCCAGCGGGTCTTCAGCTATAAATCGACTTAACCGACTTTTCATTTCAAATTTGTTAAGCTGTAAAACAAACAAACAAAAAAAGAACAAACCACAACAAAGACAAATGGATAAGAGACATCAGATGCATGCATCATTACCTCATTACCTCTGTCACATCAAAAAAGCTGCAGATTTCAATTCAGCTCATTCTAAACTCCTCTTGCACCGTTCAAATCTGTTTTTACCTTGTGTATTCTTGAGGAGCATACCACAAGTGATCAATAAATGGTCAATGGCTATTAAGAGAGAAGTATTCCTGGAAGGGATGCCTAGGTGTTACACCTAACCCATTCCTAACACAAACCAACTACATCTTAATCATTTCTGACGGAGATTTGTCTAGCCTACACACACTCTTGTTTTTGTCACTCTCCGCAGCATTTAACTGATTTTTTAAAAAACTATATAATTATCCTTCTTTGAGTAGTCATAAACAGCTCTATTAGTCAAGATTACATATAAAGATATATCCTATGAAAAACAATGTATACAAAATACCGAATTGGTGCCAATACTCTTTTTGGGAAGTCACATTAAATGGCTTTCAGAGGTCCTACAACCCAAATCTTTCTATCATTCCATGTTTATTTTATACAAAGGGTACCTCATGCCTATTACTTCTATAAGATTACAGAATTTTGATGCCTTGGAGGTTATTTTAGTACTTAATTAAGCATGACACGACTCATTCACAGTTCTTTAGAAATAATTTTTATCCTCCCCCACAACTGGGTATTTTTGCTTAACCATAAAAAAG